TGAAAGGAGGGTGAATAAATTAATGGCCATTTCAGCCACAGACATGGTAGTTTACGTTGCTTATAGGCTCAGCAAGGCAGCAAAAAATAGTTTTTCTATGTTTTATATTCTGGCCAAGCAGTCTGACATACATGCAAAACCACCATACTCTCTCATTTTTTTTTTCTTTTGAGTTTAAGAGGAATGCTTATTATAAACATTTGGAATGTGGGGGAAATTAGAAAGTTGTGACTAATCTTATTATCCAATGATGATTAGTCTTAACATTTGGTATATATTCTTCTAATCCTTTTTCCAATGCTTACACACACACACACACACACACACTAGCACTTTTTAAAAATCCACATATAGAAGGAAAATATGTTCAGATAGGAAAAAATGAGACAATGTAGATTGAGTAGTGTCCTTTGACTTTTTATATGAAAGTGGGACTCATAGTAAAATAAAAAGGGGCCCATAGTAAAATAAAAAAGGGCATCATCTGGCATTTTGGGCTAATACTCAAAATATGAAAATCATTTCTTTTTTCCCAAATATACCCTTATCTTCTCTGCAAAACAATGATGATATTAGTGGTAATGATAGTAATCACCATTCATTAACCACCTCCCACCACATACCAGGCAGTGTGCAAACTACTTCACACTTTATTAACCTTTTAAAAATATCTCCACAATTTTGCAAGTTGTGTAATACTGTCTCTGTTTTGAAGAGAAGGTTTAGAAGGTTGCTGGATTTACTCAACTGGGAACCCAGGCTTGTCTAACTCAAAGCCAAGTGCTTGAAGAACCTTCAAGGATGTCAGGAGTGGTGTTTCAGAGGTCCCTATACAGGACTGAGAACCAGACTTCAAAATGTCATAGGATACTTCCATGAGTTTGCTGTAGAGGCTGTAGTGGAGCTGGCAATGGGGTACTCCAGCCAGGTGTTGGCTGCTGCCTGCTAAAGCCTCTGGGCTTACCTCTCTGACAACATTAACTATCCAAGTTACTGCAAAGTGTCCTGGTCAACAATCTCTCTCATCTCCTTGCCAATAGATTGCATCAATTGCTGGCCATGTGAATAACACATCTCAGATCTGCAATTCAGGCAAGATTTTATTTATTCATGAGAGAGAGATTGAGAGAGAGAGAGAGGCAGAGACATAGGCAGAGGGAGAAGCAGGCCCCATGCAGGGAGCCTGACGTGGGACTCGATCCACGGGGTCTCCAGGATCAGGCCCTGGGCCAAAGTCAGGCGCTAAACTGCTGAGCCACCCAGGCTGCCCCAGGCAAGATTTTAGGTTACTATAGGTCAGCTCTCAACTAACTGCTACCACAAGAGAAACTCCAAGGGAGAACGAACCAGCTGAGCCCAGCAAACTCACAGAACTATAAAAGATAAAAATAAGTTTTTTTTTTTTTTTTAGGGGATGTTTTGTTACACAGCAATGGATAATCATAGCAGTGATATTGAGTTGGGTGGAAATTCAGAACTAGAGGGTGTTTTCCAGGAAATATTTTCCAGTAAGTGGATTTTTGGCTTTAAAATAAATTCATATGTGGGCAAGTTTTTTTTGTTGTTGTTGTTACACTATTATACAATTGGTCACTTCCATTAAATGCTGGCAGTGAGGGATTTTTCTGTATCTATATTGGCAAGAGGCTCTGTGTAGACAGATATTTCAATAGATTAAGGTTTAGCAAAACCATTAGTATATTTAAAAAAGAGAAAAACATGGTGTCCAGAGCCAAATAACTTATAAAGTTTCCTGAAAAAAAAGGAAAACATATTTAGAAAATTTTTTGAGACTAGATTAAGCTATTGAGTAACTGTAACACAGGGTTTTAACAGGCAAACCTTTTTGTTCTATTCTAAGTTTTTTATATGATAACATTCTAGGCCAGTAAATTGGGAGGGAGTAGACTTGCATTACTGAACTACTTTGCAAGTGGCCATGATATATTACTCTTTTAAAGGACCATGATTAAGAAGCCTAATGTCTTAACTAGTGTTTGCATAGGTATTCTTCACTGAGATTCTGTGACTTTTTTTTTTTACTTTTTTTTCAAGTTCTGATAGTAATTTATTGACCCCATGAAGGAATTTGCAAGTTTGTTTTAATGACCTGGAAGCCTTTAGGGCTTGTTAGAATCCTATTGTGAAATTCAGCCTACAGGTGTGTGTGTGTGTGTGTGTGTGTGTGTGCGCGCGCGCTTCAGGGGGGCATGAAGGAGGAGTCAATGATGACTTCTAGAATTCTAGCTTACACATTTATATGGATAGTGCCATTGCCTAAAATACGGAGCTCTGGAAGAAGGTCAGGATTGAGTGAAAATCTCATGCATTTCATTTTGGAGAATTATTGATTTTCAGATTTTGACTGGAGAGGAGACTAAGAATGGTGATATACTTGCCAAAAAGGATGAGTAGGAAACTTGTATAGAAGCTGTATTAGTTTACTAGGCCTGCTATAACAAAATACCACACACTGAGTGGTTTAAACAACAGATATTTATCATCTCATAGTTCTGGATGCTAGCAGTCTGAATTCAAGGTGTTGGCTGAGTTGTTTCATTCAGACAGTCGAAGGGAGAATCTTTCCCTGACTATTCTCCAGCTTCTGGTGGTTTCTTGGCTTATAGTACCATAAATCCAGCCATCCCATGTCAGTCTTCCTGTGTGTGTCTGCTTTCAAATTTCTCCTTCTTATGAGGGTACTATTTATGTTGGATTAGAACTCATTCTAATGACCTCACTTTAATTTCATTACCTCTATAAAGGCCCTTCCTCAAAATGAACTTATTTTCTTGGGTACTAGGGTTTAGAATTTCAACATACGAATTTTAGAGGGAGGAGTACGATTCAATCCGTAACAAATATCAAACATGCTATTTTAACTTAGATTTTATGTTTATTTGGGGTTAGCTTATGGTGTGGGGTTAATGAAGATCAAATGAGGAAATGGGATCCCCCTCAACCATTCCTGTTGCTGCCACTAATTTGATGCTATATGTGAGTTTGAGGTGACTTCAAGATATTCAAAAGGACATTTTATTTTTTTATATATTTATGTGTTCACATAAGACCACACATTGGAAGACTCCATTTATATTAAATGTTCTCAATAGGCAAATCCATAGGGACAAATGAGTGGTTGTCTAGGAGTAGGGCTAGGGGTGGGATGTAGACTCTTTGCAAATGAGTACAGGGTTTCTTCTTGGGGTGACAAAAATATTCTAAAATTTGATTATGGTGATTGACACACAACTCTGAATTTCTAAAAGCCATTGAATTGTGGGGTTTCTGAATCATATCTCAATAAAGCTGTTTAAAAAAAGCAAATGTTAAATCAGTTGAATATAAGGGTGTTTGGGTAAATTTCAAAATCATAGGATTTTTGGTCATGAGATCCTAAGACCCTACTTTCCTTTAACCCTCTGGATCTGTCTTATCCTTTGTAAAATGAGAATACTAGAATCTATTTAATAGATGATCCCTCTATGATTCAGCTAAAAGCATCACCTGATATCCTTTTTTTAACCTTCAGACTAGCAGATTAGACTAGAACAGACTAGTTTAGAGCATGAATTTTGGAGCAACAGATCTCAATTTGCATCCAGCTCTTCCATCTGCTAATTCTGCAATTTGGAGCAAATTTTTATACCTTTCTGAAGTGTGGTCTCTAAATAAGGCTATGGAATGGGAATAATATAGTAATTCCTTCCTCATGGGGCTATCAAGAGGGTTTAAGGTGATAATATTCTAAAGGGCTTAACAAGCATCTGGTACATGGTCAGTCAATAAAAGGCAGTAGGCAGCTATTATCAGCATGAATTTCCTAAGATCAAGACTAATGACTCTACCAAAATGGGCCAGATGATTCTTTTACAACAGGAGTTGAGTTGTCCCTTCATATTTGATGCTCTATCAGTTACGCATCCTACACATTTTTTAATTTTTAAATAATTTGACACAGTAGCATCTGTGTTAGTCCAGAACATATTTTTCCTCACACTCCTCCTGCAGTCTGGTAAGATCTTTGTGTTATCTAATAATCAGTTTGCCTGTTTTCAAGAGGCACCAAATGTTGTGTAGAATGTGACAAATTTGTAATCATTAATAGCAATCTTGATGGATGAAAATTTATCTTTCAGTATTTATTGAGCACCTATTTTGTTCAAAACAATATGCCAGCACAGAGAAAGGCATGAAGATAAGCAATATAAGGATGCTGCTTTCATGAATCCCATGGTTTAGTGGGGAAGATACTCCCACATATCCAGTCATGCATCAAATATTTTCTGAACTTACAAGGGGGATGGAAAGATATACCTGTAATTAATAAATGTATGAACGAAGTGCTGATGACACTGGAAGAAGGGAATGATTAACTTAGTGTGGAGATGACAGTGTGCTAGATGGTGAGGTGGAAAAGGGGCATTCTGGACTGAAACTGGGAAACATAGTGAACTTCTCACTACTCTGCAAATAAGTCATGACCATTTATGACTTATGTTTCTAATTCAGAGACCAGGGCAGGATTCATGTCTAGGTAGAGGTGCTTCTGAAATGAAGAACAGGATTTGGGGATTTAGTGACTACAGGGAAGGACTGCAGTTGGCTTATAAGAGGTTGGGTTATAAAATGCTAAGAGAAGACAAGAAAAACTCTTAAAGGGGAATTGCAAGCTCAGAATTATGCATGAGAATAACTCTGTGTGTGTGTGTGTATGGACCTGCATATATGTATGTGCTAGAGATATAACACACAGGCTGCCTTTTTCCTCCTTTTACTCAATATTTTTAACCCCAGATTTTGTATACATTAATCAAGAATTTTTTTTCAGTATTTGAGCAACAACAGACAGCATGTAGTTTCAACATCAAGCTTACCACTGACTCATTTGTCTTGCAGCAACTGAGACTTTTCATTGTCAATAATATTAATTATACCTATCACTCATTCTAAAATTACCTTTATTATTTCCCCCTCCTTATAACATTCTCTCCACACAGGCTTGCATTTGGGTGGCTGAAGATTAGTGATGGCAGCCCTGAGAAGATTGTTTCTGATTAGTGGACAACATAAACAAAAGAAACAGGTAAACAAACGTATATTTGTACATTTCAACCATGTTTATCATAGAACAACATGTTCATTGGGTTAGAAGTTCATCAAATCAAGAAACACTGAAAGGATAGGAAGAGGCTCATATCCAGGGTCAGCTTCCTACATGTACATTCTGTGTGGTTATGCAGAGTCTCCTGCTGGAAAGCTCAGTGCTCTGCTGTTACCATCCTAAAAATCTTAATTTTTGAACAAGGGGTCTCTCAATTTTTCTCTAGGCTCCACAAATTATGTAGTCAGTCCTGGTCATATCTTTATTACTTCCCTCACTCCTTCTCACTTCCATCTGGTAAAGTTGAATTCACTTAAGATAAATGTTTATATGATATGTCACTGTAGCAGAATAACTATCATATACAGCACCTTCGTGCATTCTCAAGGGCACCCTGGGGGATTGGTATAATTGTCCCCACTGGATAGATGTATAGTTTGCTCAATGTCACACAATCAGTAAGGGATCATGGCTAGTATGTCTGTCTACCCTTGCTACTATATCATGATGAATGAGAAAACACACACACACACACACGCACGCACACATGAAAAGTAATTCCAGTTCAAAAATAACACAAAGAGGCAAACTCCCCATAGGAGAATATATGGACTAAACTGAAGTGCCAGCCCACATTGGGCCCAACAACACATTATTTATTTAGCTATGTGCTTGCTTCCCAACATGGAATCTGTGGAACTTTACTCATCATTGTAGTCCCAGCATAGTGCTTGGCATGTAGAAGATGATTGATAAATATTTGTTGAATGAATAATATTCCTGCCAAGTTCTTCATTCAGCATTTACTTGGTCTTCTTTTTTGCAGGTTCATACCTTTGTCTTTCTCTTTTTGAAGACCTATCTGTTTGACACGAGAATGTTCTTTAGCAACTTAATGTCTGCTATATGAAGCAAAAAACCCCAAAAACTTTGATGACAACTTTCTTCATGTAAAACTACACTGTTATATTATATATTTTAATGCTGTTGGAATGTTCCAATTACCAACTTCATTCTCCACTGTGTGGGACTGCCTGGGATGGGGTCTTAGGAGGGAAGACTCCTCTTCCAGGTTGCTCGATATACATTTTAGAACTACTTTATTGAGGTATAATTAACATAAAAAAACCTGCACATACTTAATGTATACAAATGGATAGTCTGGAGATGAGTATACGCCCATGAAACTATCATCACAGTCTATGCAACAAATATCTATCCTCCTAAAGTATTTCCTCTTACCCTCTTAATTTGTTATGATTATTTTTTGTAATGAAAACACAAGGTATATCCCCTCAGCAAATGTTAAAGTACATAATATAGTATTGTTAACTATATGCACTATTTTTCACTCAAGTTATCAGTGTCTCCCCACCACACCCAGGGACTAACATATTACCTTAGTGTCATTCTTCACTCATACCTCACTCTGCCCCATAGTCAACATGTAATAAAGGGCTCCTGATTTTTCCTCCTAAATTTCTCAACACCACCCTTCCTTGCCTTGACCCACCACTTCCCTAGCTAGGATCTCACTTTTCTCCTTCCTGAACTAATCCAATATCTTCCTGGCAGGTCTCTTTGCCTCCTTAAAGTGCAGCCACAATATGGCAACTGGAGAAGCTTTTCCAAAACAGGTCTCTAACCTCAGCACCCTCTGCTTAAATGGCTTTCCTTGTTTTTCACTGCTTTCAGGAAGAGTTGACACCATTTGGCACAGCATTAGAGGCCCTCACCTTCTAACTCCAAACTCACTTTCTTGTTGGTTCCCATGTATAAACCCACTCTGGTAGCCTTACCCAGGTAGAATCTGATGCAGAGTTTAGTGACAGCAATACCTGTGGGAATGTGGGGAGGGAGTAGTTAAACTGTGATGATGCAGGTTCCTACTGGGAGCACTGGTGGCCTCTGCTAACCTTACTGGGAATACTATTGGTTTCTGGTAGTCACACTGGGAACATTGGAGCTAAAAATCTGTCAGAATTGTCCTTTGCTATTCCAAAATGGCAGCCTTTATACCTCTCTCCCAGCTAGTCCTGGGGAGTGTGCTGCTCTTGGAATGGGTGACCTTAAACCAGGCAGCTCTCCAAAGAAGAGAACACGCCTAAGGAGGGGACAGCTGGAGGTGTCTTTCCTTAGTATACCCCATTGTTGGGGCAAGAAGTCCTTCCCTCCTAAAGGGAGGATTGGGAATGCATCTCCACCTGGACTTCACTTATTCACTTAACCCTCTTTTTGCTCCATAGAACTTTCCTTTTCTTGTGGCTTCATGTCTTTGTCTTGTATCTTCTGTTGGAAATGCCCTTTGCCTACTGCTTTTTCCCTTTGATCTGATACTTTCAATTTCCTTTTGTGACTGATGTCAATTTCTGACTCCTCTGGAAGCCCCCATTCACTCTCCCAGGCAGAGTCAGTTGGTATTTCAATGAACATTGCTCACCTATACCACCTGGTAAGCATAGACTAGATGCTGAAGATGAATAAGACACAGTTCCTGCCCTGACCTACTGAGATGTCCCCCCGCTTTTGTGCTCTGGCAGTACTTAATGCATTATTTTATTATAACATTTGCCACGTTGCTTATTTATTCATCTACTTGATCATTCATTTGTTCCTTGACTGGGCATTAATCAAGCCCTTGCCTGCCCTGTGCCCAGTGTTCTGAGAAGCACTGGGGACACAATGAGCAATAATTGGATTTGCTGAGGCATAGAGATTAATCAATGGGTCATGCAAAGGCTGCATAATTCTAGCTTGGGCAAAGGCTATGAAGAAGTTTATGGAGCTAGGTGATTTTACAGCAGGATGTTTGGTAGGGAGGTTGAGGGAATAGCCAGGAGAAGTGATAATTCCTACAGAAGGAAGAGAGAAGCCTTTTGGGTAGACAGTATAGAAAACACACAAGTTCCACGGCAAGAGAGTGGATGGGGAATGAGAAGATGCAAAAGAACTTTGATGAGGCTGGAGTTCACAGAGCCAAGAGAACAGTAGACATGATGTTGCTGTGATTGGTAATAATGGTGTTAAAGTTTACTGTATTTTATTGATGTTCCATGGGAATCATGAGAAGGGTTTGAGCAAGAGATTGAAGGTCTCAGATTACAGATCTGAAAACACATGATTGGCCTCCCTTTGGGGCAGATTGGAGGAGTGTGAGGAGGTCTGGGGAGACTACGAGGAGGCTGTTTCTAGTCAACCATTGGTATAGGGCAGCTTGGAGCAAGCTGGGGACATGGAGAGAAGGGGACAGATCTAGAGCAATTCAAGAGAAAAACTGACAAGTCTTGGTGATTGGTTTGTATGTGGCTGAAGATGAAGGAAAAGGAGATGTTAGAGCTGTCTTTGGATTCCCATTGATCTCTAACCTTTTTGAGTTCAGAATCTCATGAGAAAGACCACTCAGGAGGCCTATATGCATATGTACGCATACAGCATTTTGGCTATCACTTCAGAGAGATACACAGAACTCCCAAAGCCCTTTCATAAGCCTCAACTGGGAAAAGAAATTATATTTTATTTCTTGCTATTCTAGAAAACAGCATAGAATCTGACACTTGCTACTTGTTTGTTGAAGCAATTAATAAAGCTACGAAAAGATAGAAGGTACTGAGAGGCTCCTGATGATTAATTCTCTGCCCTTTTTGCTGCATGTGGATGTAGCAGTTTTAATAGAAGAACTGCAACTTGCATGTCTATGAACCAACTGCTCATTAGCTTGCAAGGCAGCATTAGGTGGAAAAGTCCACAAATGGACTCATGAGCCTCCAGGTGGTAGAGAGGAATAAATTTTAAAATATTAAAGCTCCAAAGACCCAAGATTTGTCTGCCGCAGATGTCTCTCTGCAATGCTAAGTGCTTTGGACTGAAGAATAAAACCGTCTGCTTTTATTTTATGTGGGGGAGTGCATCATTTGGAGATGAAGCCAGTCTGCCTATGGCTGGGTGGATAAGTTAAGTTAACGTCTTGCATCTCATGATTCATTTTTACCTTGTGGAAGAAGCAGAAATTGTAATTGTGTTCATAGACAGAGATTTAGAACAGAATCATGCCTTTACAGATAAGGCATTTCAGGAGGCCAATAAAGATAAGGGGAAAAGAAATGCATAGACGTTTTAAGAAAGATTTAGTTCACACATACTAACCTAGGCCGGGCTGGATTTTTCTCTTTGTGTCTTGGGTGACCACATGCTTGGGGTAGGAAGAACTGTCACCTGAAGCATGGATTCTTCAAGGGGTCTTAGTAGTCACCTGGGTCATCCTTGTATAAGCAGGAATCCCCTCTGCAATGCTCTTGGCAGATAATCCATGGTTCCTCTTGCAGCTGCCCTAATGAGCCTCTATTGTTGAATAACTGATATAAAGTCCTGCCCTGACTTTTGGGTGGATACCAGGAATGGCGCATAGGCTTAAATTTGCATGATAGTTCCAACTCCTTGACAGTGCCTGCCTAGAGTGGAGGATTCCAAGACTGACTCTGGATTCAAGAAAACCAAACCAAACCAAACCAAACAACAAAGAACAACAACCAGTTTTATCAATGTCTGTCACAGAGGAAGGAGAATGAGGGGTGGTACCCTGGAAGCCAAAAATGTTCTGAACTTGTCATGCTTGGGTTTGATTTTTCAGCTAATTAATTCAACTTAGGGGGATCCCTGGGTGGCTCAGCGGTTTAGAGCCTGCCTTTGGCCCAGGGTGCAATCCTGGAGCCCCGGGATCGAGTCCCGCATCAGGCTCCCTGCATGGAAACTGCTTCTCCCTCTCCCTTGTCTCTGACTCTCTCTCTCTCTATGTCTATTGTAAATAAGTAAATAAAATCTTAAAAAAAATTAATTCGACTTATATTTATAATGTAATATTGTTTGTTTCTCTTGCTAGAATATTCTTCTCGTTGATCTTGCTGAGGCTGGTTCCTCCTTATTTCTTAGGTCTTAGCTTAAATTGTACCTTGCAGTATATCTTTGTTGTCTCTTATCTGGATGAC